GAACATGGCAATAAAATGTTGACGAAAACAACATCATGTCTTGAAATTCTGCCAAGAAATACTGAGCGAGGTTTGGTTAATCATATTGACTTTCTATGCACAGTTTCCGCCAGACAGTTGATCCTTCTTTGATGTAATCATGTAATGATGTAATCATGCTTATAACCTTTGTTACGCATTAGAATGTAAATAAGTTTACTTACTTTCTTTATAATAATCTAAAATTCTCTAAAACACTGGATCGATGGTGTTATTTTACACCATTTTTAGAAACTGGCTCGCTTTTACATTAGAACTTACTTTATAATAATTAAAAACTCTCTTAAACATTAGTCTGGATCGAAGGGGTTATTTTACGCATTTTTTTAACTCGCACATATTATATACCTAAACTGTAATACCGGTCAGGTCTATATGATCATCACTCAATATCGAGTTTCTAAATTTAAGGTAGACCATGGGTAATGAATTACCTCCACTTTGAAGAGTATTCAAATAGGATAGAATCACTCAAACTCCGCGCACCGGTTACGCTACGGAATCTAATCCTGTAAAGGGAGATCACTGCGTAGGTTTCAAGGTTTAAGGTTTATTTGAATAAGTCAGGGCCCATATGGGCATGTGACAACATAAAACAGAATCACTTGTCAACTATATTGAATTGAGGGGCGTGGGTACAAACCCCAGAAGGGGCATTTTTTTTCTTTCTTTTTTCTTTTTAACATTATTTATGCATCTCTCTGATCCCTTATGGAAGAAAAAAATGTTTGATTTAAATTATATAATTACTGTAGGTATTTATTTCTTAAATAATGCTAAAATTTATAGCAAATATGATACTTTATGATATTTTCAAAGTTCAATAAAATAACAACTACATGGTACATGTAAAAGTATTTTATATTTCGCATGATTAACCAATATACCTTTAAAAAAAATTGGGCAAACTTTGAAAACAGCCCCTCATTATGGTCAATTTTAGGGACATTTTGAATAAGTCTTTTTATAAGGGGAAATGGTCAAATTAGTGTTAAAGTGGGTGGGGTAGGGTAACATATTTATATATATGAAAACATTTTGTTTAGAAACAAACATTTTGCTCATGTCATTTGTTACCCGAATGTTATTATTTGTTTCTTAACAATGAGAAAGAGGAAAACATTTTTCATAATGATGATATTATAGATTATTTAGAGTTTCCTCATTTCTGAAAATAAGCCCTTATAATAGCAAAGACTTAGTTCAGAAATATATCCATAACTCATAAACCACACGGTAAATTTTATTTTAATTTTGCATACAGGTGACCTTGAAGACATATAACTGTCTATTGTCAATTTTACAGTTCCTTATAGTGCCCACTGCCCATGGTCTACCTTAAATGGGTTAATTATTAAAGGGACAATTTGTGAAGCTTGGAGTCCCAGTACCAATCTAGAAAGTTTCACTGTATTTTAGCACTTCGAAGGAAAACAAAATGACTAGAAAAGAGTTTGTTTTTATTGAACAAATAATATACAACCTTATTTATAGAGACAAATTGTTTTACAATGTTATATTTGTTTAATCATTAGTTACGGAATGCTCTTCATTTAATGCATTCTGTAATACATGTTTAGCACTGATCATGATGAATAGAAGAGAATCGTCTACACAAACGAATAATTCTTGCGCACACTTTTAAAATTGTTTAGGACTTTATATAAACGTTGATTATTGGTAAGCCAAACAAGAGAATATCACGAGTTTTAAACAAAAAATTATTCACTTAAAATGAAGAGGTATGTTAAGACGTAGGAAATGTAAAGTATCTTTTTTTTACCAAACACACTGTCAAATTGTTAAATTTTCACATAAACTAGTTATTTATAATTTCCACTCATTTCATTGCTTGACTAGGAAGAAGGAAAATAAAACATCAACTATGAGTGGATTAAGAACCAGGAAGAACAATAATTGTCAATGATTGGCTGATGGAGATCAGACCATATTGACTTTATACTCATTAACACATATCAAAGCGAAGAAGGTCAATGGTTTTGACCTGATGTAGCACAGACGGAGGAAAATTTTCGTATTTATGTCAATTTGAAAACCCAATTATTCATATTTGACGTAAATACATGTATTTGTTTTTGTAGGTTGAGGATATTTTTATGTGACTTGAAATGTAATTCAACCGACCGTTAGAGTGTAATAGTTATCAAAAATCAATTGATAGCATCAATATCATTTGTATACATAAATAAAAACAAAACTTAGAATATTGCATATAACATGGTAATTATAAAATTCCCTCGATTTTTGAATATTTTAATTTACTTTTCTTGCTTAAAAGAGTATAATGATTTTGGCAATGTTTAGGTACATTCTAAGATAGTTTTTGATGATTTTATTTAAAGTTTCCTTTGCATCTACGTATACGATGTTTGTTTAAAGTTATTTCATTGTTTTAGATGTTCAGCTATCATGTTAAGCAGATCTGTACAAGTTAAGCATACTTATGAACAAACGTTGATTATACAACCTTTATTCTTGTTTTCACCAAACTAAGGAACAATCTTAGTTGTTTACTGTTTTTCAGAAATTTTGTCAGTCAGTATTTTGCTTTCTATTTCAAATTCTAATGGAAAATAACGTGAAACAATTTCAAGAATGAATGTGCTTGTCTTTTGCAAATCAAAACGGCCCTAGGTCTCTTGATATTTTCAGAAACAAATATTCCCTGCCTAATTACATTTTGGTCAAGCAATTCAACTCATTTAGAACTCTAAACATGCCAGTTACAAATGTTTACTTAAGGATACTAGACAATTCTTACAGTTGATTCAAATTATATCTATTCTTACTGTATACATATTGAAATATTTTCACAGATCTATTATTATGTTTAAATCTGAAATACACTAAAAGTGCTTTTCTTAAATGCTGTCTTTTATATTATTGTATTAACTATGCATTACAAAAGCATAAAAATGTTAGCAAATTCTTAAAACAATTATGAAAGACAATGTATGATATTTCAATCAATTTATAACTGCTTCCTTTTCAGGAGAGAAGGATGTACATTGTATTTATTTATCATTATGACCTAATAATGAGGTCAAAACAAAACATTGCATAAAAATCTCTTGAAAGCAAACATCCCTCTTGTATGAGGCCATGACATTTAGACTAACTTAAAGCTTCTGGACCTATTTCCAACAATTAATATAGCATGAACGGTAACTCATAATCTGAGATATTCTTTCAGGAAGGGGGACTGTCTTGTTAAACATAGAGAGAGATCAGTGATTCATAACTACATACCAAATATTAGTCATACTCCATAATATCATTTCACTAATTATCATATCTTTTCATCAACAAGGAACAAGGAGCTACCAAGCAGATTACATTAGAGAAAAATTCATTTAAAGATTATTTATATTTTCAGATCTGACAGCCATCATAATTATCATGCAACTGCTATGGTAAGTTGCCCGATTACACTTGCCATTTCTGATAATTTTTTGTTGGTTTTGACACATTTGAGATGAACACAGATGTTTTTAATCAATGTGGTCATATTTTCTTCCCAAGTCCGGTACTCGTGCTAGCTTAAGGTCTTCAGCGTACCCGTTTATATACTATGACATGACGTGAACGCTGAAGATAACCCCATAGGGAAAGTCCACCAATAATCGTGCCAGGAATCTGACACGCTCGTATTTATTCATCGAACATGCCATGAAGTAAAGTGAAGCATACCTTGATAAAACTTTATATAATCTGTTGATAAGCCGAGGATGGACAAATAAAAATCTTATTACGAACATAAACTACCTAATAGTTTCTGACAGGTAAAATTTTCGGCACTTGGCCGCCATATTGCAAAAATGTTTGATCACGTGATTACGAGATTGACCTTTATGAACACATGTGCCTCCAATATTTTTATAAATTACTTTTTTTAAAGATATTGAAAAAGGTGATTTACTGACTTTTATATTCAATACAATCGTATTTAAGTACTAAAAAATTAATGAAAATAAACCAAAAACATTATCTTGAATAAAAGTATCGAAATCATGTCAACAAAATGTTTTAAATATAGTACACGACTCTATTCAAATCTGTTCCCGCGAATGACGTCATACGAGATCTCGCGTGGCACCTGAATGTCATGGCCAACTGTAGTCGGCGTAAATTGATATTTTTACAGTTAAATAGGCAATTTTAATGACGGTATTAACATTTTGATACTTTTAATTGGTATAGAAATGATATTAAAATGATTGTTTTATCGTAAAATGCACAAGAATTGATTGGGTCAAGTGTATTTTCAAGTGAAAAACAAGAATAAATCAACTTATGTTATTCTGGTTAGGTTTCGTAACGGGTCTAATCCAAAACTTTAATGCCGCATCAGATGAAAAACAAAAATGTTAAAAAGCGGCTTATAAAGTTTTGGAAGCCAGAACTATACTCGTGCCTGTGTTTTCAAGCAGTATTCTGATACAATAGTAAGAATACACAGAACGGATACGGTATTTTGGTCTACCTAACGCTAAAAAAACTGAACATGTAAACAAATAGAAATTTAATGCTAAGAGTTAAAGACTTTGTTTATACCAATATATCGAGTAATCTTAATAAAGTAAATTTACAAATATAACAGTAAATAGTTTACATAGTATTATTTATATACTAAGTATAGTTATAGAAACCGAAAATACAAATTGTCTACCTGTTGACATTTATTCGAATTTGATTATAATTGTACAACAGTGAGCATTTTCCTTTAATGACTTAATAAATTATGATTGTAAAACAATAAGGGTGTGTTTTGCAATTCGTCATGTTTTCGACGACTAATTCCTTACACAGAATTAAAAAAAGTATATTAAAATAGGACGGAACGTATTAACATAGCCAATTACTTGTTAGAGAGACACTTAACATTTCCGTGTCCAATCAAACTTAATCTCATTATGCATAACAATGTAAGTGGAATGCTCATAAAATAATATCAACATAATCGGGTTATAATTGTAAGAGCTATACTGTAACGTTGCAGAAAACACATTTTGTTTATATGATAATAGTTGTTAATAAGTTTTAGAAAACCGTTTATTTATGGAATATTGAGGACATTTGTTTCTTATTCTGTCTTGGGATATCAAAAACAATATGTTCTTTTTGTACATTTTTATTTTGCTTGTTATCATCCCAATTGTTAAAGTTGAAGGGGATGCACTTTGTGATTGTCAGGAAGTTGAAATATTAAAAGAAATAGTGAAAGATGTTCTTATAGAACAACGAAGGGAGTCTGCTAGACTAAGTAGAGTAGAAGCGAAACTGAGAACATATGAGAAAACTGGGCCAATTCCTAATGGTAAGTTATGTTTCTAACTCTTATTTGATAAATAGTAAACCACATGTTTAATATAATAGTATGTTACGTTAATACTGTAAATTATTCACAGGCGTTGCACTTTTATCTGAAATTGAATAATGTTATTCAGAATATACTTGTCAAGTAAAAATTAAAAGTTGCTTAATGTATTTGACTGCTATTTGAATACAAATAATTGTACGTATTATTTCAGTGTCAAACGTGTGTATTTGCAAAAGCAATTATCTTTTTTATTGTAGATCGATTGGCAAAGTTAGAACAAAACGTGAAAGATATAAATTTGAAATTTAATGAAACAATTACCGCAGCTAATGACAAACAGACAGGTTTTTGCCGGGACATTGGTGCAATTGTAAAGAAGACGTTGGTTTCAGAGAAAAATGAAAGGAAAAAATTAGTTTCAAACATGAATGAAAAAGTTAATGAACATAAGGACATCATTGAAGCGTTTAAAATAACGATTAACAATACTATAGACGAACGTTTCCAATATATTACTGCTAAGCAAATCAAACGCACGGATGAAATTGAAGAATTTATGGATGATATAGAAAATGACACTGCAAATTTTATCAGGACAGCATTTAACATCACTACATTTAAAAATGAACTAATGATGGAAGTAAATGAGCGATTAGATAGTATAAATGAAGTGAATAAAAGCGTTCAATGGATTTCATCAGATCTATTCGCAGTTAATCAAAGTGTAGGGGAGACCAGAGATATGGTAGATAGACTGGGTGAAGTTGTGAAAGAAAACAAAGGTAAACCTGACTATTTCCTCCACAATCTTAATAGTTTATATATCAAATTTTGTCATACTAAACATGCTATATAATATTCATGTATTTTGGATATTGAATGCGTGTAGATTTATGACAACATTTATTGAAGGAGTTGGATAAAATCATACTGTACGAGCCTCTATCGAGCATTTTATTGTTTAATTTAGCGAGCGCGTTCAATAAATTTAGAATTGAATCTACAAGAATATAATATTTTATTTATCACGTGTCGGTTGACTGTTAAAAAGAGTCATTTGTCGTACCTATAATGTTTTGCTAACATTAACGCACGTTTATTCTATGTTTGCATCATAATCAAATCGTTTATGTGATATTGATTCTAAACACAAATAAAAAAAGAAAACAGAAACGGTGTTAAACTGCCATTAAACACTGGTTAGGTACTACATGTATATGCGGATGATCTTTTTTATCTCCCTCTCATTACACGGATAAACAAGGCAATATAAGGCATTGGTAAAAAAACGCAATTTAATTGGTATTTTGAAAACACCTCTGCATGGTTGTTTTGATTTCATTTAACAGGTATTTTTGAAGATACATCTACATGTCCGAATTTCTAAACTAATTAGATACACTTATCTTTCTAAATCGCAAAAAAGATAGAAATATATTTTTTTCCGAGTTATCAAATACCAATTTTGTTAACCCATATTTAAACGTTCGATCGAGTACTCGATTAACAGGTTACTCATTGCCATTCCTACTATTTTCCGTTCTTGTTATATTTTTCGTTTCCGATATTGCTACAATAATATCTAACATGAACTAACGCCCAATGTTGTATCCAAATCAGTTGATACAATTTCTATTAAAAGTCTTCGGCAATTCGTATGCAGCGTAATGAAGTCATCCAAAGTATGCAACTCATTTTTAATACAAAAAAAACATCAAGAAGCAATGTTATTAGTTATAATAACAGTAACTTTGTGCAGACTAAGTATCATTTTTAACACAATGCATTCCTAAACCTACTATCAAATTAAAACAAAACAGTTTAGAAACATTGGCTAGAAGAATTTATAGAAATACATTTAAATATAAGTACACTATTTTTTGATAGACGTGATAATCATTTTATTTAATTCCTTTTTACGCCAGCAGAATTTATTGTTTATTTAAATAAAAACTATTGAAAAAAATTACCCCACCCAAGTGATCTTTGTTAATATATATCACGGTATGGAGTTTAAACACAGATCATTAAAAATCAAGATCTATTTCCATGCTTACACGTGAAGAAAAATTAAATTTGTACTATATAGAGGATATTGAATGAGTGTATGTTTAATACTAAATTTATTGAACAAAGTCGCGCCGCCAATATGTCGGTTTGCAAATACATAGGGAGGAAATAAGAAAGGCGAGTTTTTCATGAATACAAAAATCTGAACAAATTTGTGCAAGTAAAAGCAGATTTACGTCGACCAAGTATACCTTTTAAAGAAAAGAATTTTTTTTTATAAATGTTCCTTTGATTTAAAAATAATGTAATGCCTTTGATTTAAAAATAATGTAATGCGTATCCATCACAATTAAAACTACATGATTTTCTAGCTATAACCTTTGTTTTTCAAAAACTAAAGTTGCAAGATATACACCAAATGAAGTGAAAACGAGAAGCTTGTTGATATGGATATCTTATTTCCGACATAACAATTATTCAACGGAAATAGTTTGAGTTCCAAGATGGTTTCGTTAGTTTAAAGATGTTAAATACGACTCAGTTTTGATTCCCATTCCTGAGACTGTTGTTTAAAGGACTTATCCGTTGGTGTTCGGATCCGCACACTTCGGCACAGAAGCATTAACAATACTTTTAAACAATGAGAAGGGTACAGGGACTGAATTTTTGTATCTCATTGCCAGCATAATGGGTAAACATAATAAATTTAGTCACAATGTTGTTGTGATATATTTTGTCCACAAGGAAATCTTTGCTGAATTAACATGTAATTGTTTTTCGGAAATACACAACTTATTAATTGTATATCTGATATTCAAATATAAAAGTCTGTAAATATAAAATGTACTTAATATAGATTCATTCATTGTGCCTCCATTAGAAACAATTTGTGAATACAATAAAGATGTTAAGTTGTGTTAAATCAGCCTACTACTTTGAATCAATTGTAAACATGCATTTGCCTTAAACCATTTACGTAAATGTTCATGCTGTATAGTTACTGATTTATTTATTTGCGCATACCACAATTACATCATCTATAAACATCTTTAACCTCATTGATTATAACAGAAGTCGACAAGTATAACTCATTTTATTATATTCACTGGCTGAACTGGATTATCCTTCTTCGATAAAATAGAAAAAATCTCATATTCAATGGTCATACATCATGAACTGTTAACTATTCGTGCACATTAGAAATACATATTTTGTTCTTTATGGCTTATTTTTCGAATGTAATATTCATTTCTTCATTATTAAAGTTAGAAATTAAACCGAAATAATGAGTATTTACTTAAATTACTTTTCTTTGCACAATGTTCGCATATCTGTTAATAAACGACTAACGTTAATGTCACTATTTATTACGACGTCTTATATCGCGCTTCAATGATTCATGGAAAATATTCGAAAGTTGCAAAAGAAAGAACCATTCAAACTGCGGGCAAAGTGAAACACGGGACAAATTGAAACACACCACATATATTTTTCAATCTCAACTTGATATGTCACATCATGATAATGGCAAGGGAAAATATAGTTTTACCCCTTTCCGTCCGTGCGTACGTGCTTGCATGAGTGAGTGTCTGTGTAATTATGGTAAATCAGTAAATACTTTTGGAGTACGGGTTTGCGACTTGTTAATTTGATTAAACGCCAATTTTATAAATATACTCAATAGCGTTTTATTTAGATACATCAAGTAATTTAAAATCTTTTTTCAGTAAGAAATATCGATTGACATGAATTTTATAATACATTTAACTCTTGGCTGCAATAAGATGATTTACTTGAACAATTTGCTCCTTTAGCCTTATATAAGAATTTAAGAAGAAATAAAAAACAAACTGGTCGTACTCTTTCATTTGATAATATACGAAAATAAGAAATACACAAATTAATATTTTATATACTTTTATTATAAAATATTGATGCTCTGCTTGCAGTTCGATTGGTAAACGGCTTAAACCAATATGAAGGGAGACTTGAAGTATGGCATGATGGGACTTGGGGAACAGTATGCGATGATGGGTTTGATACGCTGTCAGCAAGTGTTGTTTGTAGAATGCTTCATTATCCACAGTAAGTAACAAACATTTTATTGCTTTTTATTCAATACAGCCAACTAACTATTTTAAGTGTTTGTTTTAGGCAAACATACTTTTAGAGGTTTTTAATAAAAGATGGTTCTGTCTAATTCATCAAAGACATGTGTTCAGGTTTGTTTAATTACAAGAGACTGTGATGATGTATTGTATGGCAAAAGTCGACGATTAGAATATTTTTGAATTTGTTGGCATAAGAAAAAAAACAGGATTTGCAATCACAATTGTGTGGAAACCATCATTTTGTACTCAAAAGTCGCCATCTTTGAATGCAAAAGACCACGTATGTTGTGATTTGTAAAATATTGTCGGAAAATATTGCCTGCCGTTTTAGAGAAAATGTTTTGCTAGTACACCCTTTTAGCTGAATTATACTACAAGTAATATATTTTCCAGTTAAGTTTTAAATGGTTTGAAAATTCATGATTGTATATTCTTTCATAAAGAGTTTCTTTAAATATCCGAGGACTAAGGTAGCGCAAGTTGGAGCGATAATAGTACCTTTAGCTGCGCCTTCTTTCTGAATATAATATTTTCCGTCGAAGTAGAATACGCTGTTTTTCAAAATAAGTTGTAGCGATTTTATTATTAAATTGTGCTGAACTCATGTGTCCATTTTTTCGGATATCTTTTCATTCAAGAGTAAATTGCAATAAACGTGTCATAATACTGGTTAATTGATAATTTCCACATTTTTACATTAAGAAAATTTAGCAAACTGTTCCTTCTATAATCAAGAAAATATTATAATTTTGTGAAAAACATTTTAAAAGAAGAAAACGGAAACAATTACAGCATAACACCAGTCACTCATGAATGGTTCCCGTAAATACACCAAATATCGAAGTTTCAGATGAGTGTAATGTATTTATATTAAACGTGTTGTAGTAAACAAATACGAGTATTGATATTTTCTCTGTAAATGAACTTTTTTTTTCCAAAACCGCCACCGATTTTTAATTTACAAATTACATTATCAACAAATAGCAATATTCATTATTCAAATTTTTATTGATAAAATACTATTGTATTGTAAATGATAAATCACTTCAACGGTTATTTCCATTTTCAATAAAATGAGATACAATGACTTATGTATTAAAACATTTTTGGAAAAACTAAAACAAAAGTCTTCATATTTCACATATTTTAATTGGTCATAATTAATAGATGACTCCTATTGATATTGGGGTCACTTAGTCAAAGGTCAAGGTCACAGGGGCCTTAAATGTAAAAATGGCTCCCGCCGATTATCTTGTAAACTATTCATCACAAATTCTTCAAATTTCACATAGCGATTGGTCCTAACTAGTAGATGATTCCTATTGATTTTAGGGTCACTGGTTCAAAGGTCAGGGTCACCGGGATCTTTAATGTCAGAATGGTTTCTACTTATTATCTTGAAAACTGTTTAGCACAAAGTCTTCATGTTTCACATATTGATTGATTATAGCTATTAGATGACCCCTATTGATTTTGGGGTCACTAGTTCAAAGGTCAAGGTCAGAGATGGCTTAAATATCATAATGGTTTCTGCTCATTATCTTGAAAATGAGCATTTTCATTCATGTCTTTCACAATGGTAAAATTATATGGCGATGGCCCCTCCAAGTGTTGCTCGGGTTCTTAGCGGGAATAGGACTTTTGTATTGCTTGCAATACTTTGATAATTGCTTCTTTTTACAGTTAGTTTAAGCAATATGGAACTTTTTGTAACTTATAGCACTCGACTTCGAAACATGGTTTCTTAATAAAACGTATGCAGGATTTGTTGATTTTCGGTTTGAAAATTTGTTTTTGGCATCTGTTTTTTTTCAAAAAATCTAAAACCTAAATCAGCAATCTCAGATATATTAAATAGGGACAGTGCGGACAATATCAAAGCGGACCGAAGTCCCTAACATTGCAGACCATATTTACAAACAGGGCGAACCGTGACTCGAGACGAGGCGGACCGTGCATTAATGTCAGATTCAATATTTTCATAACATATTTCTATTTCGATATATTCATAACCATGTCATATATTTAAGTAATTTATTACTTTTAAACAAAATGTATTGAAAATTAACCGTCGTTTGAGTTGGGTAGTCATAGTTGTTTCATTTTAATAAAGTCGTTTGAAGGTGTAATGTTATAGTGTATATCAGGTGATCATTCAAATAATTTAAGGGGAATTATAGTTAATTGCATATCATATGAATAAATAATTCTTTGAAACAAATTAAAAAAATCAACTCAAATAATAACAACGAACCACAAATATAGAACAGAACAGATTTATCAATTATCAGGAATTAAACATACATGGAATTCAATTTAACAAATTTAAATACGGCCGATTGTCTAGTGTCCGCTGTAACTTTCGCTTGCTAGCGAGTTATACAGGGTGAAACACGGATTTAGACTGAAATATAGGTTAAATAGTGCAGTTAAGATCGATCCTTGAAGACATTTTTAGATGGACCTATATGACATAGATTTTTCCCGGAATGATTTTTCGTTGGAAAACACAAGACGATTTATTACTACGATTTCTCAAAAGTGTCTTTTTTATCGACTTCAGCTAACAATTTTGAAGATTTACTATTAATATTTGTGCAAACCCTCTTGACTTATTAAGGAATAAGTATCTAAATACCAGAAAATGAGGGAATATTTGGATAGAACACCTTCGTTAAGAAAATGTTGACGCTGAAATTGTCACCGGTGAGGTTTTCTCACTCTACGGTTGCTTGCAAAATCTGAAAAACCAGTCAACCGGTTGCTTGCGAGGTTACCGTACGGTTGCTTGAAATATCGTTTGCATTTCTGATCACCACACGAATTGTTTTACAGACTACTTGTAAACAATTATTATTATGAAATATAACGTGTCACCTATTAAAAATAATTGTCAACAACAGGTGAAGTCCTTTGAAATAGTCAAAATTTTGGAAAAACATGTGTCATATACATGTTTAAATGTAGCAAACAAACTTCCTCATTAGTAATCGGAAAATATGTTGAGTTCACCCGAGGTAATGTTTCAACTTACCGGTATTTATCCATCATAACTTAATCGATTTTTCCAAACTAAACAATTGATGTAATGCTTTCGATTTTTTGAGATTTTTTTTCCAGTGAAGGCTGTACAACAGCTGGCCCTCAAGCAAACGTACACAGTTTAAATAGTTTTTCCAAGCAACCGTTTAATGAGTTAGCAAGCAAACGTACAGTAAGGAAACAACACCAATGATGATTATTTGTCATTTTTCCAAAATCACTGTGTGCACACCAGCAATTGTTTAATTTTCTTAAGCTCACATGATTATTCTTCAATGTTTTGTATATTATATGTAAAGCTTGAATCGTTGTACGAAGACAACAATTGTGACATGCTTTTAGGAATCGGGGAAAAAAAACGAATTTTTACGAAAGATGTAGACTTAACAGTAGGGATGTAGTAACAATTTCTCAATGACTGGTTTTTATTGAACTTATTTATCAATTTTCAGCTCAAAATCAGCGATTTTTCGCGTTTTATTCGCTCGCATGCGGAAGTTTTAGCGGATAACGAGTGTACGCTATACAATTGAGCACAACCATGCATTATCTAGAGGAAATTATATGAGTGTAGGTTCAATACTTAGTTCTTTTAACGAGTTGAATTGAATTATAATATGCGAGCCTCTGGCGAGCATAATATTATTTTATTCAACGAGTTCAATCAATTTATAAAGAACCAACTCGAAAATTGTATTCTTTTTATCACATATCCAAAATAAGAACTGTTAACAGTAAAAATAACAACTTTTCATTGACGCGCTAGTGTACACTGTAACGCTATCATTGAGCGAGTCTTAACGTTATGTTTGTATATTAACGCAAATGACGTCACGTCAAAATATATGCACGGCCTAGCACTACCATTTTATGGAGTCGCAAAAGCGGCAAGGTAGTTGATAAATTGCATTATAGGATCTTGTTTTTGATTTTATACTTCTGTGACAAATTTGTTTAATAAAGAAATATAACTTTTTGGGCCATGGTACTAACTTGGAACGTGATAATTCAAGAGGAGTTGACTTTTTATTCAATGTAAACTGTTTGCAAATGAAACAAGAAATGAAATTGTAATAATGCAGAAGAAGAAAACATAGACGAGCGAGGAAATTTAAATCTGCGTCAAATATCATCTGCATCGTATCATATTTCAGTTTTATCTGCGTCGTATCACGTTATACAAATCTCCTTTTTTTATAATAATCGCCTTATTAGTATATGAATTGTTATCATTTACTTAGGTTTTTTCGTCAAGGATCGTGTATGAACAGTGTCGTATCTGTAGATCTTAAGAAATGCCCGTCCTCCTCCGTTTATCTTTAATTTTGCTATAAATTTTAATTTTTAAGATAAAGTTATTTACAACAAAATGAAGTGGTATTTGCGAAGTTTTGATTTCCAAGATGACGCGGCGTTTGTTCACAAAATGTTGAATATGCCACTGCTCTGATTCCAAGTCAAGAAACAAACTAATTTTAGGTCCAATCCTTTGGTATTTGGCTCCGCATTATTCGGCGCTGGAACATTACCAATACATTTAGACGATGTTAAATGTACGGGAACTGAAACAATATTATCTCAATGTCGACATCATGGATGGGGAAAACATAATTGTGATCACAATGACGATGTTGGGATTGCATGTACTCCAGGTATTCTTTGTCTGATAATTTTTTTGAAATACACATTGCTTTAATCGTACATGTCATAAATATAATAGTTTTTATATAAATACAGACTGAAATAGGAATTATAAGTATGGTAGTAAATAAGAATTTTTTTAACTTTCGTATTATATAACTTTATTCATTTTGATCTCCTGAGGTATATCTCGTGAATATAATTTTAATAAAGACGTAACCAAAGTTCTTTGAAAATTTCAGCCAATCTCTTTGAGCTTGATATTGTACCCATGAACTTACCTAACCATTTTCAAATATAAATGTGGCCATGCTCTCGACGGACTGAGTATAATTAGTGATTCGTCTTTTTGCGCATACAGCAATCATTAGATTTATTATAAAAGATAACGATATAAAATGTATTTGATTTAATAAAAAAAAACACTAAAGAGTAAAGTAATGCTAACTTCAAGGCTATAAATATGCCTTCGTAAACTTAACAAAAGTGTATGTACATTTTCTATTAGCTTGGTGTTCTGTTTATCAATGTGTGTATGTTAAAGTAGTTTTCCGTGCGTGTGAGCGTTTATAGCTAGAAACCTGATGGAGATTAATTACTGCTAGGAGATTTATCTTATTATGCAGTTTCTGGATGTGTGCCTTATTAAACTTTTTTTTAAAAAAGGAAAGAAACAAAAATATACAAAATATACATTTCTGTTTGATGGTATGCGAAGATGTCAAATATTAACATTTGATATTTTTATACTGATCATTTTGAAGTTCGATTGGTTAACGGGTCAAATCAATACGAAGGGAGACTGGAAGTATGGTATGATGGGTCTTGGGGAACAGTATGCGATAATGGGTTTGATACGCTCTCAGCAACTGTTGTTTGTAAGATGCTTCATTATCAACCGTAAGTTACAAACGACTTGTTTTTATCATTTAAACCAACCAACTTTTTAAAAGTGTTTGTTATAGGCAAAATTCGAAGAAAAGAAATGAATTGAAAACAAATTGAAAGATATAATGGATTGCATAAAGAAAATGCATTAGAAACTTGATAAGAAACATGACTTTTTCAGGACAAATCCTCTTGTATTCGGGTCCGCATACTTCGGCGCTGGAAAATCACCAATACTTTTAGATGATGTTGAATGTAAGGGAAATGAAACACTATTATCTCAATGTCAACATAATGGTTGGGGTAAACATAACTGTAGTCACAATGACGATGTTGCCATGTCATGTACAACAGGTAATCTTTGCTAGATTAAAACTGTTTCTGAAATTCACAATTTCGATAAAGAGGCTATGAAAAGTGTTTCAGATTCCTTCCTGAAGTCAATCGCAATCATGTAGTTTGTCCAATTGTCTTACATTATAAATAATTGATAAAATTATTACTATGCTTCTGAAAGTACGTATATAGTGAGTGAACCGTCCGTATGTCCGAACTATTTGTACACGTCTGTTTGACAACAGAAAGTTCGTTTCGTACAACTATGTGGGGTAAAATTCGTAATGTTTGGTTTGAATAATAATTAAGATGGCCGTCTGAACGTTCATTCATCAGTTTAATTTATATACCTACTGACGAATATATTTTTTGGATAATAATATGCTATCTGTTCTCAATAAAGTTTTCTTTTTCGAGTAAGGTCATCTTATAATTCTCCCCATTTTAGATTGCATTTTCAAAAAGTACTGGGATTATATTAATGTTTAAAATGTTAAGACACAAACTTGGTTCATGGCAAAAGACAATGTGTTGAAATTTTGAATGGTATACATTTGTTTCTTTACCAATGCAGATCCTGATGGCCATTTACTTATGTTTTTGATTTGTGGAGGCATATCCTAAGTTTTTTAAGCACCAATAGAAAAAATACTAGTCCTAATTTTAATTAAGTAATTTTCATAAAATTACTGTTTGTGTTGGTGTTATTGTTGTTGTATTACTTATGTTATGATGGCAACATAAGGTTGTTGTGACCTTACAATGATTATTTCTCTACCAGTTAAACCGGAGGGACTTTATGTCAACCCTTCGTCCGCCTGTATGTCTGTCTGCCTGTCATTCTGTCTGTTCGACAATCCAAAAAACTGAATCCCGAGATAACTAAAAAATAAGTGAAAATATTTTTATGAAACTTGAAATAAAGGTAGACGGCAGACTGAACATTATGTACGACTTTTTCTTTTCTTCCCTTTGTTTAAAAATGCCAACAAATAGACATAAGATATGGCAAAAATAACACAAAAATCTGATCCCGTAATATCGCAAAAAAGTACTGATAATATTTTTATGAAACGATTAATATAGGTAGATGGCTGTCTGGAAATTGTGCACATCTTTTATTTTCTACCTATATTGAAAATGTGGTTCCTGACTTAAAATATGGCAAAAAAAAACAACAATATTTGTGATAAATCAAAAAGTACCATTTTTGTTTTTGTGGAACTTAAAATATAAATAGATTGCAGTATTGAGATAACGCGTGTCAATGTTCACAAGTCTAGCACCAACATTATTAGTTTTGCTCCGCCCCCAAGCCTCTAGAATAAGTTTGCACACCCGGAATGTTCGCAAACTCAACTAACTTTTTAAATATAGTTTCAATACAAAAAGTTCAATCAAAACAGTAATTTGGATGGGCATAGACGATAATTGACCGTTTATATAAAGAAAGTACAATAATTAAACGCTGGGCAAGCATTCAAAGTACAGTGACCGATGGAATTTCCAATCTTTCATGGGTTTTATGTGTCCCATGGCAACTCCAGTGGGATTAAAACCCCATATTCTAAATCGGTAAAAAACTCTGAGGAAGAAAAAAAATGTTTTTCTAAATATTTCGATTATCATATCCTTATCATAATGAACTTAAAGGTGTTTAAGGATAATAAATTTAAGAAATTCGCACTTCTTCAATGGGGGGGGGGGGAACAACGCATTAAGAAAATTGGAGAAATATCCCAAAATTAGAATGGGAGGAAATCCCCCGTACAGCATAACTGGAAAATACCAATAAAAGCTTAATGGGAGGATAACATAATAGGAGAATTCATCCATGTCTTAATTTGTTTAACAAATCTAACAGGAAGTTTAAACTTCAAAACTTTTCTTTAACTGATTATTCTGTTTCGTCCTTTTTTAAATGAAATAAAGTCCGATTAGTTATTTATGTATAAATTTATCTTTTCTGTACGAAATCTGCTGTGGTCATAGTATTATTTTTACAATAGGTTTAGCTCTTAAATTTGGTTTGCTAATCATGGTCATGCAACTACATAATTACATAAAGAAGTAGACGCATGTTTTGGTTGAGTCTATTATGTTTTGCTTAAGGGGTGAGTTGTCATACATAAATTTACGATTTATTTACATTTATTATTTTCAAATGATTATTATTATCTTAAATGCTTCTGGGATTGTTGTTTGTAAATAAAATTGTTATATTTCTATTAACGGCATAATTTTAATGAACACCAAATTAGTTCACGACTACATATGTATTGATAACGTGATGGTTTAAGCCAATGAAAAAACATCAATATTATTACAGTTAGACAGATAAAAAGTTTGCAAAGAGTTAATCAATAATCTTTATGTAGCAAACAAACTTTGAATTGCAAGTATTTTTTCATATATTTTCAAACAGTTGAACAGTTTATTGAAAATGCTGGGCCTCTTAGAGGCATCAGTCACATATACAATAATATACATATAATATACTAATGTACTACATGGCAAAACTAAATAAAAAATGAAAGTGTTACATTATGAAAAATAAGCTTAGTTATCACTTACTTAAATGCTGATATAATTTTTTTTACAGAATACTGCAAGTTTTAACAATATACTTCTATACTCCTATCTGTGCTATTCATTAACATAGAAAACTTGAGTACTATACTCTCTAGTATTTTTTTTCTATCTGTATTAAAGAATTGGCAATTAAATAAGTAATGATATTCATCACCAAGTGAGCTAGTATTGCATAAGTTACAAACTCTTAATTCTCTTGGTATATTACAAAATCTACCAGACTAAATAAGCAATTTATTTAATTCCTGTATAAGATATTTGTTCGGCCAACCGAAAAATTATGATGAAAAATCTTGTTAAGAAATCAAAACATTATGTATAATAATTCCTGTATAAGATATTTTTGTCGATCAATGAAAACAAAATTGCTTTGCAAAACCACATTTCTTTAGATAAAAAAGACATCCAATGAAGATATAAGAATTGACATTTTGTTCTTTTGACCAGACAAAAAAAAACGTTAGAATCCTGTGCAAGAATTCTTGTGTAATATATTTGTCTGACCGATTTCTTATACATATATTCTTATATAGGAAATTTAATAATATTTTTCTTTGGTCAACTGAACAAAATTTCAATGATATCTTTTCATTGGAAGTTGTTTTTTCCATATAATATGGTTTGTGGTATTGTATAACAGTTTTAGTCGGTTGACCGAACAGAAATTCTAGAACAAGATTTTTATTTATTTCTCTTTTGTTCGGTCGATCAAACAAAATGTTAATTTTTATTTTTTCATCGGATGTAACATGCTTAGAAATAGCGAAGGATATACACTTCGATGACAGGTTGAACACCACCGATTCATTTTTATTACAAAATGCCTACATTTACTCTTTATTGACAAGTTCTAAGAAGATTTGATTTATATATTGAATTTTATATGCTTGCAAGTCATGAAATCATTATGGCTTCCGCGTCATAGGAAGCACCTTTTTTCATACTAACTAACGTACTTTCGTACATGTAGTCTGCTTTATGCTTTTATGCAGATTTTAACACATGCATGACGCAATTTTGGTCTGAAATATTTTGAAGAGTCAATGTTGAAATGTTGAACCTGAGTCTCATCTTGCAAACGCTTATTCTGACCAAGAGTAAGTTAGTCAAAGCGCTTATATGATCCCGACGAGATTATCAAAGCACAGAAGGCGCTTTATTTGTTTAAGCTCTCAGAAAGGTATATAAACCAATTTCTTTTTGCATAGTGTCACCATTGCTGTTCCCAGTGTTATAACTGTAGTGAATTGGCCATAAGACTAATTGATTTATTTGGCCTAAACAAATTTAAAAAAAAAAGAAAAAAAAGATGCCTTCACTAGGATTCGAACTCCAGACCCCTCGCTTCCATAGCGAGCGTGTAAACACCTCGACCACGGGGAAGTTGTCAGAGACAACCATTTTATTCTAAATTAGGGTTTGTAACCCTTATTTATTTCGATATATTTTGTTTAAAACTGATGTAAATAATCATGGAGCTTAATATAAGCATGTATATCTATAAAGAATGACTCTTCGACCAATCGATAACTATTTTTTCTTCATCGAGAAGGCTTAAAATTAATGCGCCTGTCATTTGACAATCTTTACGCAGTGATCTCCCTTTAAATTTTTCGGCGTTAGTATACATATAAAGGGAAGTCACCGCTTCGAGGAGTTTGGACTACTTTCGGCACTTGCAAATAAGCACATCAGGGTCTGAAATTCCGCTACAATCATTTGTTTGGTCTGACGACCCAAACAAATAAAAACAGTCCGTAATTATGACAGTCAGCACAACAGGGGTCTGCGGTTTTAGTAACATGCCTTTAAGTGTAAATCGAAAATACTAACAAATATGATGCCGATATAAATGTATAGGAAGACCGAACAAAATGTTAATTCAGAAATTGGGCAATTCGTTGTTATTTTTGAACTAGATATACAATGTTACTTTTTAATATTCATATCACGTTAAAATAAAGTTAAAAAATCTGATTAAATATCAGTAGAAAAGGGGCGGACATGTTACACTTCGATGATAGGTGGAACACTACTGGTGATTTACAAATGTTAGGAAGATCTAAATTATTTAAATATTGAAATCTTTATGCCTGCAATTAAAGCCATTAAATCATATTAGCTATCTGCGTCATAGGATACACCTTATTTCATATCAACTATCGTCCTTTCATACATGTAGTCTGGAACATAGACAATGTTTCAGATTTAAAAGAGAAAAGCTTGGGAATTTAATTTAACAGATATAGCACGTCACCTTAAACAGCTTGATGATACCGCAATTTTGGGAGACAAATCAGATTGTTTTTCTTTTAGACGCTTATTCTGATCAAGAGTAAGGTAGTCAAAGCGCCTGCTCGACCTCGATCCGTTTAATACAGTCTAATATTTATGACAGTCAGCGCAACGGAGGTCCGCGGTTTAGTAACATGCCTTTAGGTGCAGTTAGAAAATAATGACAAACATGCTGTCGATATAAATATACAGCCAGCGACTGGCCATTTACAAATACGATATCAGATACTTTGTTATTCACAGTAGCACAATAAATAAACAAATATTTGGACAATTTTGTTTTGTTTTAATATTTAGTATTCCGATCAGATTTGTTAAACAAAAAATATATGGATGAATTCTCCGGTTATGTTATTTTCCCATTACGCTATAATTGGGTATTTCTCAAATTACCCATTAATAGGGGATTTCCTCCCATTCCAAGTGTTGGAGATTTCTCCCATTTTCTTAATTGGTTAGTTCCGCCAATGGGAGAATTGCAAATTTCTTTAAATATGTTCCTTAAATACTTATAAGTTCATTATAAGTATATAATAATTAACAGTAAAAAAATAAAAAAATTTGCTTCTCTCGGATGTTTTTGAAAATGGGATTTTAACCCCATTAGAGCTCGCATTGGACACGTAAAACTCAATAGGAGAATGCATAAATCCCACGAGATTTCACACTTAGAATGCTTGCCAAGCGTTCAATTAGATTACTATCGTTATATAAACGGACAATTATAGTCTATTTCCATCCAAATTACTGTTTGATTTAACTGTTTGTATTGAAGCAATAATAAAAAGGGTTGTTGAGTTTTCGAAATTTCCGGATTTGCAATCTTATTCCGTAGGCTGTTCCCCTCAAACGTAGAATTTCATATTTTTTTCTCTTTTTGTTTCTTTTTGTATCTAGATCTACATAAAATATATGTTTCTTATCATCACCCACATCATATGTGACAGGGCTCATAATTCTAGCTCCTATATTATCAGAATAATCATCCCTGAACTTTTTTTATGAAAACATGTTGTTTGTTTTCTATAACTTCTTTACTTTTTTTAGATATCTACTTAATGCTTCAAGTATATGTTCCATATCATTACTCAAATCATGTGTGCAAAGATTCAATACTCTAGCTTTACTATTTCCAGAATTGTGACCCCTTGAACTTTTTTCTAGATTCTTTTTTTCATTTATTACAAGATTTACTTCAAACTTCCATATCATAATATGACAAGGTTTATAAATTTACCGTCTTTATTTCCAGAATTATCTTTCCTGTAAATTTTGAATTTCCGTTTTTTAATCTTTAACTTATATTTCTTTATCTTTATTGATTTGCTTCAACTTTCAGATAAGTATGTTCATTATTAACTCCTTCATCATAATATGATAAGATTAATAAATCGAGCGCCTGCCATGATTTTTTAATGATTTTTTTTTCACTTTAAACATGGCCTTAATTTGAAGATTGTTATATTTTGTGTGTGTTTTCTTCTTGTTACTATAAATGGTATATAGTTGAAAATGTGTTTAATTTTCACTTTTCCTCATAGTTACTGGGAATAGTATCTACTTTAGTCTTAAGATGATTTTTCTTGGTCACCACTCACATCATGTATGACTGTGTTCTTTATTCTAGCATCTTTATTTCAAGAGTTATCTCCTCTTAAGTATAGCTCCATCTGTCTTGCCGTCCTTCAAAACTATTTTTGCGATTACTTTTAAATAACTTGGACTTTTTACAACAAATGTACTTAAAATAGAGGAAAGTTGAAAGTTTATTCTCATTAATCTATATAAAATTAGATATTTTGATAATCTGATATTATAAAAACATAATTAAGACATGGATACTTAACACATTACTATGATACGATAAACTAAGAACTCAAAATATTTTATGTTCAATCATGTCTTCCACAATGGCATTATTGAAATGCCATGACCCTTCATAAAGTTGCTTGTGTTCTAACCGTAGGGGACCTACCTTTGTACTGCTTGCAATACTTTGATAATTGCCTATTAATCTACATGTAAATACATGTATTACCTTCTCGAAATACGACTACGACTCATACAACGCTTTCTACGATGGCTACTACGACAACGATTAAACGACTACTACTACGGCAACGACGACTACTACTACAATGACTAATTATAATCGATGACCGAGACTGATGTTACTACAACCGCTACCGCTGCTACTATGGCTACTTTTACTTCTTCTTTTTCTACAAGTACTGTTGCTAAATGATCTCATTAGACTACCTTGCATCACTTAGTCATATATATTGTATATCAAATAGAAAAGAAAAAATAACATAATTATATTTAGACACATTCAGTGCATTACTGGATTCAAAATTAAAAGGTCACCATTTGGCAATTTAATACTCTTTAAGGACATGATTGATGACATGTGCACGCGCCTATTTATTTTATTTTCAATCATTATGTAAAGAAATTGATGTTCTGCTTTAAGTTCGATTAGTAAATGGATCAAATGAATATGAAGGGAGACTAGAAGTATGGAGTGATGGGTCTTGGGGAACAGTGTGCGATGATGGGTTTGATGAGCTGTCAGCAACTGTTGTTTGTAGAATACTTAATTATCAACAGTAAGTAACAAACGTGTTTTAGCTTTTTATCGCTTAAGGCAAACCAACTGGTCTAAAATGTTCGTTTTATGCAAATATAACTTTTGGAAATTAAAAACTGGACATCACAATAAATGAACAATGTGAGAAACTGTTTGTTTGTTTCTCTCAAGAATTGTTTCATTCTCAATGATAAACATTTATATTCAAGAGCCTGAATAAATAATTGAGCATATTATGTATTTTTCGATAAAAGACGATTATTTTATTATTTTTGAATTCATTTGTTATACATTTTTGCTCAAAATTTTAACATTTTCTGTTGGAAATATCTGATAATGCGATTTACTGATAGACATGCTCATTTGTGTTTGGCTTTATTTTGTGTATGAAACAGACAAACATTCTTTGAAAAACAAAAGTTATAGCGAATCAAAATATTGAGTCAAATAAGAATTTACTAAATTTACTGATTCAGTGGAGTTCAATTAACGCACCGTTTTACTCATGAATTGGTCTATTAAGGCTTGTCTGTATTGCAATGAAAAATTACTTTGATGACATTTAGTTTTAGACATTACAACAAACCCCGAAAGAATTATACATGGAAGTTTTTTTTGTGCATATTTTATGAATATTTATTTAGCAAATAATAATGTGTTTTAGAACAAAATATTATTCATCAGATAAAAAGTCATCCTAAATGTCTTAGAACTCTATCAAAAAGTTTGTATATTGCTATATATCTGAGATTTCTGTGCAATAGTATGTATTAACCACATCGTTCCTTTCCATTCACAGAAAATTACTTATTCAACTTTCTGCTATGTCTCTATTTTAGACATAATCTTCCCATTTCAAGGGGATTTTGTAATAATATGTGAATTACTATTATTCTCCTAAATTTTTTCTCAAGACCGTATTTAAAATAAATTACTTAGAAAAACGCTGGATAAAGCAATTTAAAGTGATTCTTATCTGTCAAACTTTATACAGATTTTCATCTGATACGCTTTATTGTTATCAGTTAGTTATAACTTTTTTTTTTCAAATTAAAGTTGCAAGTTACATACACAAAATAAAGCGGTGAAAGAAGAAGCGTGTTCATGTATCTTAATATCAGACATTTCTGACAGAAAAAGTGTAAAATAAAGCATTCGATTTGATTTCCAAAATAGCACTGTTTGATTACGACTATAATGTTCTAATGGCAAGTCCTAAAACAAAATCATTTAAGGACGAATCCTTTGATATTCCGTTTCGCATACTTCGGCACTGGAACATTGCCAATATATTTAGACGATGTTAAATGTACGGGAACTGAAACAATATTATCTCAATGTCAACACGCTGATTGGGGAAAGCATAATTGTGATCACAGTGACGATGTTAGCATGTCATGTACTCCAGGTAAGTTTGTCTAGTGTTTCAATTGTTTCTGAAATGAAATAAATATATATATATATATATTATTGTACATTTTATAATTAGTGCAATATATTCACAAAAACATGTCTGTAATGTGCACTATGATTTAAATTGAATATTAATTATCAAAAAATATTTTGTGGAATAATTTTTTTTTGAAACTTTCTTACTCAGTATTCCTTTGTTTCTGAGTCGCCTCTACAGAGTAGTGGCGGCATATAGAGATCATTTCTCAGTCGCCTGTCAGTCTGTCGGTGCGTCTATCCGTCCATCACAAAACTTGTCCGGACAACTCCTCAAAGTCTACTGGTGCATTTTCACCCACACTTTACAGAAATGGTCTGTACTAAGTCTAGTTGTGTATATCATCAGTATTTTCACATTTTCAGCATTCCACTTATGCAATTTTGATGAAATTTACATAATTGATTTGTAGCCTTGTACTTTGGCATATTACACTGGTTGTCCGCGTGAATGTTTTTGGCCGAGTTATGGCCCTTGAATAAAAAAAGTGTTTTTTACTGTTTCCGGCTACAAAGAAGCTTGTCCGGACCACTTTTCAGAAACAATTTGTGCAATTTCATCGAAACATTTCAAGAATGATCAGTACAAAGTCTAGTTGTGCATATTATTGACTTTTATGGTTCAAAGATTTTGATCGGAGTTATGGCCCTTTAATTATCTTTTTTAAAGTTTGCCCTGACTACTTTTCTTATACTTTTTAAGCAGTTTCAATGAATCTTTATAGATTGCAATGCCAAGTTCTTATGCATGTTAGACGGATTTTTGGTTTGAATGTTTTTTGCCGATTTATGGCCCTTGAATAAAAAGGGTGTTGATAAAATTTGTCTGGACTACTCCTCTTATACCAATTATACAATTTAGATGAAGTTTAACAGAATTGATCGGTTGCTCAAGTATTTGCGCCTAATACAAAGGTTTTCCGCTCGAATGTTTTTTCCTACGTTATGGCTCTTGAATATAAAAGGTGTTTTGTGTTGCCAGCTTCTGGGTCACTACTTCTCTGAAACAACTGATACAATTTCATCAAAACTTTATAGGAATGATCAATACCATGTCTAGTTGTGCATCTCATCCATTTTCGATTCGGTTTATTGATTTTTGTCAGAATTATGGCCCTTTAATGAATAAGTTTTTAAACATTTGTCCGGACTACTCCTTTTAAACGACTTATGCAACTTCAATAAAACTTTACATGATTAATTGGTAGCTCAAGTACTTGTGCATACTACACAGGCTTTCAGGTTGAATGCTTTAAGGTCAAGTTATGGCTATCATGAGGCGACACATTTGATTATTGGTCGATCTTGTATTTAATTGCTACTCTTGTGACATCATAATGAAAAAGTTTTCAATAAATAAAATTAAAATTGTTTTATTTTTTATCATGACGTTGGTAAAATTCCTTTTAACTTAATAAATATTTTATGCAACTGAAGCACGACGGCTGAACTCGATATGGATCTCGAAATTGAACATCCAGATCAAGATATGCACTCTCAAGCCAGATGCGAAAGAGAAAATAGATCAATCGCAGGGTAGGTTTTCAACGTTTTAAACAGTTATGTAAGATTCAAAGCTATTTGGAGAAAATTGAAATGGAATATTACCCTCCTAACTTTCCACTTTATTTTCCCCATTTTTGTATCGGATTTTTATGCAGTCTACATCGAGAAATTATTTCAGACGTGGGTTATGGTGCGTTCAAACATACAATACGTATGAAGAAAATGTCACTTAACGGACACAAAATATAGAGGTTTTACGAAATCTTACCACTGAACTATTCTGAACAATGAAACAAATCCTTATTGAACATTTATTGAAACTTGGCTAAAAATAAACGAATTGCTGGCCAAAATGCAGGTCGAGTTTCTGTTAAATGTACTGAAGAGATCCATAAGTGGATAAGTGGCTAAAATCACTTCCATATAAACATGAATAGTCAATTAAAAGGAATTATGTTACGATCATTTGGCTGAAAATTCATAAGTAAAATAAATATGTTTGATAATCAAATATCACTTTATCAATAGACTGGCACTAGAAATACTAAATGTACCGAGAATATAATTAAGTTGACGCGAAGTGTACTCGTATACTACTCGTTTAATAAATTATTTCCCTTTGTGGATACGTAACTTGGTCAAGCAAAATTATAATACATGTATGTTAAACAGCTGACAGAGGGAAGCGACGAAATCTTTGTAAAGCTATCTTATCATATTTTTTTCATTTAAATTATTTTAATTCATTCACATATATTCCACAAGTGTCTGGAATAGATTTCACAGGCACAAGTATATAATTATTCGTTGTCATGCAGTGAAATGCCAGGCAACCTTTTCATAAAAAAATGTCTTCATAAGAAATATTCTTCTCTCGGTTTTTTTGTAAAAAAGGCAAAATAAAATGAATATTGATATGAAAATGGTAATGAAAAATCATTAACTTAAATATATTTACAATTTTGACAGCAAACTGATAACTTTTCATAGTCACCATGTGTTATAATCAACACATCAACGTATCAATAAGATATTCTATTATTAGATTTACATGTATATTGCAATGGATAAGCTGAATAAAAAGAAACGTGTTCTTCTAGTTAATATTCTGTTACATTTTGGTTTGACTTTTAATTGGTTTTAAATTATTATTTTACAAAATGAATGTACACAATTGCGCTAACGATCCATACCAAAAACGTATATTGTACTAAGGTGTGGAATAATTGAAAAATAATGTAATGTAACAATTGTGACGATATAGAAGCTTCCATGCGTGAACGTTTAAAATAAACACACGTATTACCCACAGTAGCTATAATCAATCTATGTAGTATATGTAGTAGTTATTCTAGCTCGACTTAGGAAATCTGTCTATTTCCGATATAAGTTTTCGTTACAAAATGATACACAAAAGAATAAAACATAGATTGCTTTATGGAAGTGATCCGTAATGATGTTGATGATTTTACATATTGTGAACCTATATGAAGCACACATGGAACTCAGATGGAATTATGATTGGTGATATCTTCTTTTTGGGGCCAAATCGTTATGTTTTAGTGGGGGTGTGATTGAATACGCAGTTTGTTTGACACACTATAACCCACGACGGAAAGAATATCTCCACCAAGACTGCATAAAGTTCCGAAACAAAAATTGGTAATAAAGAAGAAAGATAGGAGGGTAGATTTTTCGAAAGAGCTTTGAATTTAATATAATGTTTTAAAAGTTGAAAACTTACCCTGTGATTGACCTATTTTCACATAATAATGGTGTAATAGCGCACATAATGATCACCGAAACTTCAAATATACTTTTGCCGATGCTAAATTTTGAAATCTATATTGCGTTCACCCTTGTGTGAAGGGATGCATATAATAGTATTTTTTTGCGCATACCACTATTATTTCGTTTAGATTTTTTACAATCGATGCCAACGCAGAAGTTAAAATTGACTTCAAATTCGTCCATAAAATTAACAAAACTACGGTTGTCGACTGTTTCGCTCATTGTTCTAAATATAGCTATTTTGATCTGTTTGTAATAGTCGCTTTTTATAAGAGATATCATTTATGTAAGCACGATTGATACTCATCATTGAATACATGTATGCATTTGCTTGATCAAAACGTTTTACTTGGATGATTTAACAACTCCTGGATTTTTGTCCTTAAAGAAGAAGTAAAATTGATCATACTTTCGATTTGATGATATTCAGAAATATAAATTATAAACTATAATTGTTTTATACTTTAATGCGTTTCATGAAGTTCGTTTGGTAAACGGATCAAATCAATACGAAGGGAGACTGGAAATATGGCACGATGGGTCTTGGGGAACAGTTTGCACTGATGAGTTTGATGAACTGTCAGCAACCGTTGTTTGTAGGATGCTGAATTATCCCCGGTAAGTAACAAAAATGTAATGATTTATGATTACTATATTAAACCAATTCGCAAAGTTTTTCAATGCATAATCTGGTTTAAGTGTTTGGAAATCCCAATAAATGAACTACAATAAATAAATAAATCGATTTTTAATTAGATTATTGAAATAAATTCTGTATTCTCCAACGAGAACGTTTGATACATTAATTGAATCAATGCTTGCTATGATACAAGTCGACAATTAAAATAAAGAAGTTGAAACACAAAAATTTTTAGGAGTAATTCTCAAGTAAATGGGTCCACATACTTTGGCGCTGGGACATTACCAATACATTTAGCCGATAATAAATGTACGGGAAATGAATCAAGTTTAGCTGAATGCCAGCATAATGGTTGGAGAAAGCATAATTGTAGTCGCAATGACAATGTTGGCGTATCCTGTTCACCAGGTAATCTTTGTAAAGATGTGAAAGAAGATTTTATCGATTAATATACTAGACAAATACTGTTATAACTAGAAACGAAATTATAAAAAAGAATAAAAACATTTTCCTAAACTTCACAGTCTCCGTCAATTCGTTTTATTAAATCTCTATTTCTAAAAAACAGTAATAATGATAATAATAATAATAATAATAATAATATTACATGAAGTAATAATGTAGGAATTTAAATTAATTTGTCTCGTTGTTGTTTTTGTTGCCGGTGTTCTAAATGCAGCCTCTTGGTTAAGACATGTAATTTTCAGATTCATTCGTACAAATTTTTATTTGCATGTGTTATTTTCTAAAATACCTTTGAAATTTATAAATTGCAAAAAGTATTGAATTATTGTTTTAAAATATTGACGCTATTCTAGAAGTTCGATTGGTGAACGGGTCAATTCAATATGAAGGTAGATTAGAAGTATGGCATAATGGAACTTGGGGAACAGTATGCGATGATGAGTTTGATGCGTTGTCAGCTACTGTTGTATGTAAGATGCTGAATTATCAATCGTAAGTAAAAATAATTTCAAAATATTGTTGCATATGTTTACATATATTTTGTAAACATTACCCTGACATCTTTTTTTTTTTGCTATACATGGATTACATTAAAAACGAAACAAATATCATATCTAATCATGTGAAAAATGTGTATCAATTTTTTTATTTAGTCTAAAGAAAGTACAGTGAACAAGTTTGTTTTTAGGTACTGTTTATTCTTGCGACATTACATTATCATTGATTTCTTTGCCAGTATTCCTAATATATGTTACAAAAATATCGTAAACATTACATTCAAATAGTTCAACAGAGGCTTAAGAAGCTATCCTGGTGTACATTGGCCTTCAAATGTAATATCTATTAACTGGGTAATCGAAAATCGGAAATTTTATTCGAAAGATGATAAAGAAATATACAGAAAGAACACTATTAAGACCACCAATGGAACTGTACCAAACTTGTCTTACTTGTGGTTGGTCTCAATTGTGAATATTCTTATCTTTGTTAAGGCTATATAACGATTCTAGGACATTTGCCCCCCTGCCAGTTGCCTTCGGACGTATGCCCATCTTTTGCGGTGCCGTACATTTGCCACATTGTATGTTTTGAAAGGGAGGACATTTGCCACTTTCAATAACAGTAATTAGATAGATATAATGATCTATAATTTGATTCTTGAAATAAATTCTGTATGGGTGAACTTATTTCCGGATCATCTAACCATTGACCGAAAGAACAAGAAATTTCCCTTCTCGTATTTTAAAAAGTTATTGTGTATTGAAGCACTGAGGAATTTCGACAATAGGCGGTGAATTTCGGTAATAAACATCTTTAAAACAGGGGTGGGTGGGGCAAATGTCCTCCCCTCAAATATTTTAAGGGAGCAAATGTACGCGTCTTCCAAAGATATCAGGGGACAATTGTCCGCCACTGCAAAAAGCGGGCAAACGTCCGGGGGGGGGGCAAATGTCCGGATACCAGTATAACATACTTTATGACCATGGTCTATTTTAGTCCTTTTATATGAACAAGTAATATGTATCTTAACCTTAAAATACAAAATAAAAGTATGTCTAATAGAAAAATATACTTCTGAAGAAATTTAATATCAATTCTTATTGGTCTGGTTTATATGATGTACATATTTCACCTATCAAACAAGAAGTTAATTTTTCAAAAATAAATGTGCAGAAAGCAACATTAAACAACTCTAGAATTTATTTTCTCACTTCATCGACCCAATCATAACAGTTTTGACACCTTGTTACAACAAGTTGCATGCCAAAGACCATTCAAGCAGATGAAGACAACAAACTAGTGATCTTGATAGATCTAGACGGTCTAAATAGTGCAATCAAATAAAGAATAAGAAACGAAAACTGGGATTAAATCTGATGGTCATATAAATGGATAAGCTGAGTTATCTTCTTTCCGGATCATCTAACCATTTCTTAAAATTTGTCTGAATAATTGTAGCGGGGTGGTTCTGTCGCTATAGGTGCCATACACATACACAAGGACACCCACCGGTTTTGTTTGTTGGAAGATATGTATAATGTTTGCTTCTGTGAAAAGTGGAATCTATTTTATGCGCACGCATTTAGTTGAGAGAGCATGGATGATGTTTCTCTTAAGGTCACTAGTAAAGTTTTTGCATAGGTAAAATATGAAAATAAAGTTATGAAATGTCCACAAAAAATGTTTCATTTTCAAAAGTGATTTGCATTTATATGCCATAGTGAATTAAATGTTAACAATATTCAAGAAAGGATTGTGGGTAGTCAGATTAAATGATAAAAATTTGACTGTAAAAAAATTGCTAATATTTGAAAAATAAATGTCTTATACTACGCAAAGGAGAATAAAAGTCATGGAAAGTTGTGTCTGCAATTTTAAAATGATGAAAACTGTGTCTGTGATGTCATAAGCCATCCTCAGTAAAATTGATAAACGAGCTTATTTAATTTCATAGAGATAAAATTGAATATTTCTTAGATAGTTTTTTCAATAACCATATTTGATTTTGCTTTTTACAATTTAAATAATTGTCCCGTCACTCATCACATCGCAAAGATATCATTTTATCTTGGAAATTCTACAAAACGCAAACTTAATAAATAAGACAATATCGCAATTTCCTTTATAACCTAGTGTCCCATTATCATTAAATATATCCAAAAATTGAAAATGCCTTAGATTTTATTATAATTATGGGTCCAGGTTCTTTATTCTACATGGTTTATTATATGGAAATGAAAAGAAAGGAATGAGGTATCTTGCGCTTGCTCATGTTTAGGATTGATTTATATATTTAATTTAAACGTTTTATGTGAATTGTTTATATTTTAGATCTTTTTATTCATAAATTTATCTTCAATGATTGATTAAGTTCGAAATCTACTCATTTATGAATAATTTTTAAATGTTTGATAACAAGAGTTTTTATTTAAAGAATATTTCGTCCATGTACACAACAACAAACGTTCACGGGTGTCGCGAGGATCGCGAAATTATATGACATGCTTTCCAAAAATGTGTAATTTTTTCCGGTGACCTCATAATTTTGTTTTACTAAATGTTATGCTCCGGCATAACCTTAACCTTAGAATAATAAAATGTACTTAAAACATGTGTCTGAGACATTTGTATATAAAGAGCTTAAGAATTTAAACTCATCAAAGAGTACTGGTTTAGATGAAATTCCTGCTAGATTTTTAAAAGATGCAGCTTCATTTTTTAAAATACCAATTACTTTTATCATAAATATGTCAATTTCAGAAAATTATGTCCCTGATGACATGAAAGTAGCTAGGGTAAAACCTTTATATAAAAAGAACAGTAATCTTGAAGTAGGAAATTATAGACCTGTAAGCATTTTAAGCATTGTTTCAAAAATTTTAGAAAAATCAGTGTATTCTCAACTTGAAAAGTTTTTAGTTGATAATGGTTTATTGTATGAATTACAGTCAGGTTTTAGAAATTCCTATTCCACTGACACTTGTCTTATCCATTTTATGGATCATATCAGAAACAATAATTCCAAAGGATTATACATAGGCATGATGATGTTAGATCTACAAAAAGCATTTGATACTGTTGACCATGATATTTTATGTGGAAAATTGAAATTGATGGGTATCTCTAATACTGACTGGTTTATGTCTTATCTTAAAGGTAGAAAACAAACTGTTAGTGTTGATAATATTTTATCAGATTACATGCCTGTTACATGTGGGGTTCCCCAGGGCAGCATCCTGGGTCCTCTTTTATTTTTGTGCTATGTAAATGACATGAGAATTAGTATAGATCAAGAATGTAAACTTTTTCTGTATGCCGATGACAGTGCAACTCTTTTTGCTCACAAAAATCCAAGTATTATTTCTCAAAAACTTGGACAAACACTAGAGTCTTGTTCATCTTGGCTTGTAGATAACAAATTGTCACTTCATCTAGGAAAGACTGAATGTCTTATTTTTGGTTCCAAACGTAAACTAAAACAAGTTAAAGAGTTCAAAATTGTTTGTAATGGACATACTATTGAATCCACAAAATCTGTTAAATATTTAGGTTTAAATATTGATGATTCTTTGTCAGGTGAATCTATTGTTAATTGTATTCTTACAAAGGTGAATTCACGTCTTAAGTTTTTGTATAGGCAAGCAAATGTTTTAGATTTTAGGACTAGAAAATATTTATGCTCAGCACTAATACAATGTCACCTTGATTATGCATGTTCTTCTTGGTACCCGAGCCTGAACAAGTGTTTTAAAAATAAGCTTCAAATTTGTCAAAATAAAATTGTTAGATTTATACACGGTATTGGACCTAAAGATAGTGTCAATAATGTTATTCTTGCTAATATGTCTTTACTAAATTTAGAAAACAGGAATAAGCAATTACGTCTTAATCATGTTTTTAAAATTGTTAATAACCAGTGCCCTTCATATATGATAGAAAATTTTATACCTGTTCGAGACATTCATTCTTATTCTACTCGAATAAGTACAATTTTTGGGTCCCAAGAAGTTATGGGAAAGATAATGTAACTTTTTTTTAAAAAGCAATTAATGATTGGAATTCCTTGCCAACATACATCAAAAAAATTAATAAGATAGGAAATTTCAAAAGCTCTGTGAAGGCCCATTTTCTAGAACAGTTAGGTTAGTAAATCATAATTAAATCCAATAGTATGACTAGATATTGATCTCATTTTTATTGTTTTCTTTTTAGCAAAGTTAATGGAAATACTAAAGTTTGATATTTTACGTAAATGACATCTTCCAGTTTCCAAAGTTTTGTAATTTTCAATGTTTTTGTGTTTTATATTGTATATTATAGTAAGTATATATCCAAGGATCCCATTGGAAATAAGCCTTCGGGCTTTCATGGGCAATCCGAGGTTATTGCACACTACTCTATACATGTTTCCACTTACGTCCTTGCATTTTATTAAACTAGTAAATTGATATCTAGTCATAGGAAAGAAAGAGTTTTAGATTTTGTTTTTAGTTATAATATTTTATTATTTAATGAGCCGTCTGTGATATTAATGTCTGACAAACTTCCGAAATATTTTATTACAATTGTGTCATCAGTTTTATATAAAATGCTAAAGTGTTTGTTTTATGTATACATGTATGTGTGTTTTAACCTGAATAAATATCTAACACATTATTGTAGATATGTTCTCCGGCGGAGTACTTTGTTATAATCCGGCGGAGTATTTTGTCATAAATCATGTTTCTTGACTTTCTCGTGATATTTGTGTTTTGGCGGGAATTATTTCATTGCTATATAAGTAAAATTTCAGTGTCACGAGACAGAGCTTCTAAGGATTTCAAGTTATTATGGATAGTATTTAGGTTCAAAATTCATGTATATTGTGTTCTTTCGGCTTTAAAATTATACAGTGTTAGCGAAATAAAAGATTGGAAATTATAGTTCAGTGTTTGTGCTCTCTATTAAAGTCTTTCTTGTGACTGGAGTAAAAAAGTGTAATTAAAGTATAC